TGAGTGGCCTGGAAAGACAACACGGTCTGCGCTTTTAAGTTTCCGAATGTTAGGTAAAAGGCAACATGCTGTTATAGTCTCTCTCTCTCTCTCTCTCTCTCTCTATATATATATATATATATAGAGAGAGAGAGAGAGAGAGATATAGATAGAGAGATACGTAATATATAAAGTATACCAATCCAGTAACAACAGACTCTGCCCATGTGTATACGTGTCTGAATACCAATGCTATAAATATCTGTGATATACATTTGTTTCACATGCAACATGCTTTAGTTACCATTGCCACGTCTTTGCAGGCTCATATTACTTAAGTAATGGGAATCACATGTGATAAAAGTGACTTTGATGCGTAAGATAGCAGAGGATATTCGTGTGAGCCATCAACATTGTGAGGTCCATAAAGTCATGAGCCTCTGACATCCTGACATCATTGTGATTGGCAGATCCTCCTCCCCAACTTTTGGCATCCAAATGCCCCCTGATCTGATAGCTCTCTTCTCATCACGCTTTTTTTTACTTAACTGGTTCACTAGGTTCACTGGTTCCGTCATTTCCCCTTTTCTTGCATCTAAAATACAACCATTCCAGACAGGACACCAACATGGCGACGGCCGTTCCGAGCATGAGGTAGTAGAAAAGGCCATCCAGGTTGTCCAATCCCAGGACACCATCGTCCGGAGCTGAGTCAGCGTAGCAGTTGTAATTCTTCTTGTTAAACCACCTGTGAACGGATTAGATAATGGGATCAGCCTACAGCTTAATGCAGGGACTGCTCCAGAAAAAAAACAACTCCAGAGACCAGCCTTACAACGGTTTTTGTTGAGTGTTTGGTCAATGTTGCATCGGAATTTGAGTTTTGACTGTTGTAGACGATGTCATTTCCGACACAACACTTGAAAATACGCGAATACGGCTTTACACGAGACGTTTTGCTGAATTCGAAGTGCTATACACAATACGTTAGGGGTTCCAACGGTGGAGGTTAGACATCCAGGTAATAAGATACGCCAAAGAACAGTTACTCGAGCAACTGAATATGATTTTGGAAACAGTCAGACGTTTCAGGTAGCATCCACTACCTTTCATCAGCAACACTGGAAAGCTAGTGGATGCTACCTGAAACGTCTGATCGTTTCCAAAATAATATCCAGTTGCTTGAGTAACTGTTTTTTGGTGGGGGACATAACGAGTTTAGCACAATACGTCCTGCTAGTGTAACCTATATTGACCTGTTCTCAAGTACATCCATCTGCCCGGCCGTTGCCATGTCCATCAGGGCAAGATTGACCTCTGTCCGGTAAGGCGAACCGAGCCGAAACGGAAGGGCGACCTGATACTTGTAGAAGTACTCGTCAGTGAGGATGACCATGTCACACCTCTTGTTGAGAATCTCGTACTCGTAAGTACTGGCTGAAATGAAGATGAAGTCACCCTTAGCTGCGCGCTCAAATGCCTCACGGGTACTGTTGGTGACGACTTCATCTGCAGAGGATACGATGCAATGGCAACTTCATTACTCACCAACAATACGACAAAATAATGTCTTCTAATTGCTGTTATAGAGAAAGAAGGCATTCAATGACGTTCCCAAACTTGTATTTTTTTATTCCAACATTTCATGACTAGATATGGTGACGGCACACTCAACTTATTTTAAGTCGCCACCAACGCAGAGGACAAATACAGGACAGGACAATACTCATGTCCACTTGAGTCAAGAAGTGAGGCATGTCGTGTCAAGTACCCTTCCCAAGGGCAAGGGCAAAAGATCTGTGACGTGTCATGACTCGAAGCCGGGACCTTTTGGTTCCAAGTCGAGCACTCTGTCGTTATGCCACACGACCCCAAACATGAAGCTATAGTCATTTCAATATATTTCTGTGACCAAATTCAAATTTAGCAATAACTTTGCTTGATACGACTTTTTGACTGTATCGAAAAGAAGTTTCTAGTTGCGTGGATTACTTTACCTGAATTCTTGTCGAGATATCGCCCAAGAGTCTTAAACGGCTCCTCCTGAGACTTCTTTAAGAACTTGTAAAATTTGTATCCCTTGTAGGTTCCGTACGGCACGTCTGTCTGCCCAGCTAGGTCAGACAGACTCCTGATGGTCCGGTCTACTGAAGGCTGGGACAGGAAGGCAGCCAAGTTGGCTGAAAAATAATAATTAATAAATTATAATTAATAATAATTAATTAATAAAACAATGATGCTATCACAACTATAATGATCCTAACGTACACTTTTAACACTTCAAAAGGTTCTATATTTAAAACAGCAATGACATATTTTAAGGACCCTATCGTCACATTAAATATCACCCAAATGTTGATTTTGCCGTATTTGCCGTATTTTCAGGGGATGTAATAGAGTAATATCAACTTTTACTAAGTTTTAGACACCGGATAGTAGATATTGCAATGCTACGTCATGTTCTTCCTTATCTTGAAATAAAGTCTCGAAGTAATGTTTAAAACAGCAATGTCTCATTTGAACGACCCTATCGTCGAATAAATATCCCTCAATTATTTTCGTATTTCCAGCCGATGTAGTAGAGTAATATCAACTTTTTAGACACCACATCTACATGATATTGCCCTGTTGAGACATGTCTTCATTATCTCTAAAAAATGTAACTTGTTGCATACCAGTATAAGATGCGATGATAACAAGGATGAAAAACCACCAAGTTCCAGCTATCACTCTTCCGGTAGCTGATCGGGGTAGAAACTCTTGTCCCTGGCTCACAGAAGCTCCATAAGTGGACCTGTACAAAACTTTGTCATTACAGTTTCTTCCTGGATAAGGGTTCATGCCAGACAAAACCCCAATGACCCACTCTCCTGGCTTTATTTTTGCCCAGTTCTACCATCCTAAGAAGGCCTGGTGAAGGCTAGAACTCACTCAACTTACCAGAGACTGTTGGCGAGGCTAAGGTTGTCTGCCTCCTCTGCCGACACCTCTCCCCGCCCGGCTGCTCGAGCCCACTCGTACGGGTTCAGACGGCCGTTTGCCGCCAAGACAAGACTCACTCCCAAAGCGGCGGCCACAAAGCATAGCCACACCTGCATAACGTCATATCAAGGAAGGGCACAGCCCACCATTTCGAGCTCTCATTGAAATGTATGGTAAACATCTAAGAAATAAGTTGTCAAAAATCACCCACTTAAGTGTTCAACAATCAAAAACAAAAAATAACATGTTGTTAACGATTGGAAAGAAAAGGAAAAATCGCTGGGGAAAATTATGTTCTAAACAAGATATCTTAACTTGAAATAAATGTAAAGAATGATAGTGCCACTGACGAAAGGTAGTGGATGCAACCTGAAACGACTGACCGTTTCCAAAATCATATCCATTTACTTGAGTAAGTGTTTTTTGGCGTATCTTATTACCTGGATGTCTAACCGTCACCGACGCAGATACTAGTAAGTTCATGTCACTAAAATAATTGATATTCACCTCTCCAGAAAATGGTTTCATGAACTCGAAGATACGTGGATCGTGCAGACGATCTGGTTTTTCATGGTCAGGAAGTACCCGCGTGTGACAAGTGGGAGGGAAAACTCTATTTTTCCATGCAAGTTGGGCCGCATTGCCGTGGGACACAACACCATGTCATACTGTGGGCAGAAAGAAGTCGAAAAAACTGGTCAACTAATGTCTGAGTGAAGTATCAACCTGCAAGTCAGAGAATAAGTGATTTAAGATTTTGAGGAAACAAAGCATTGACGGAGGCAAATATTTACCTGACGTTTAGTACAGGATAAACGGATAGTGAGAACTAACCTTGCCCGACTTGACTGCCTCCAACATCTTCGATTGAGAGGCCTTGCCCGTCCCAGTAAGGTCCCACGTGAAGTTCAGTCGTGAAGCCAACATCTCCAGCAGGTCCAGCATATAGCCGTGATACAGAGCCGAACCAACCTTGCCACTTTTCCCTGGTTTCTTCATGAAGTATGGTTTATTCTGTAAAGCAAAGATCGGTTCGACGTGACTAGTCTATCGTATCAAGTGTTGCAAACTGAACATAAGAGTAAATCACAGTCAATTGAAACGGCACGAGTATTGGGTAAGAGATCTCCAAGCCTTAAACAGTGTAACCTTTGCACTAGTTGTACAAATGTCGTGACATCGTGTGCGGATAGAAAATGACACAGTACGTCCACGCGGCACAAATGTTGAACTTACGAAATCGGCGTAAACTCGAATGTGTCGTCCCGACAGTAGGTTGATGTCGATGGGTCTCTGCCATTTTTTCTTAAAACCTGTCGTGCCCGTCGGGGTCCAGGTTCCCACCTGTTAAACAGACAACCCGAAAACATACGAATTTCAGATGATGACAATCACTAGCAAGCTAATCCATCCCGGTATCTTTGCTGCATGCTATTTCAATTTCAATTTATTTATTTAACCAGTAATTACAGCTAGCTCAGGCCATGGAAATGGGCACTCGGTAAATTCCCTGCAACATTAAAGACTAGATTTACTGCCAAACGTATTTCATACAGGTAATCACCTGTTTCGTCTTCCCGTGGAGGTACTCATGAACGAAGACTGTTAAATTCATCCTCTTCCCACAGCTGTCAAACTCAAAGGACACATGCCCGCTGAATCCGGAGAAGGTTTCCTGGAGAAACAGCAAGCTGTCAGAATAAAAGCTGATCTACGTTGGTAATAAGAATTTCACAGCATAAAGTGATGATCATCGCATTTTCGATCGACACTATGACCTTCATCAGGACTGACGACCCATATTCCGGAAAATGTACCTTACCTCGGTTATATAGTTTCTGTTTGAACGGCAGTTTATGCTTTTTGGAGCTAAGTCAGCCTTGTTTGATCTACGGGAAAATCCCGTGACCAGGTCCGGAGACAGGCTGCTCACGACCCTGACTGCATCTAAAGCCAGCCGCATCCTGTAAGACAGGTGTCCATCAGGCAAGTCTCGTCCCCACGGGCAGATCTGACTGAGGGAAGGGGCGGAGGCAGCGTCAGGAGTGCTCCACTGCTCCGGGCGCTCTGCAGGTCACTCTCTCGGACATCCTGTTGAAATGTTTTACATAATTACTTATAGGAACAGCACTTCTTTCTATCACCTGTCATCCTACCAACTTCCTAACATCATTGTCAATTGATCAGAACGTATTCGTTGATGAGGAAACTTTAAAACACAAGTTCCCAAAAGATATGGTAAATCAGATCGTAAAATAAGTTGATGACTATTTTACAGGAGCCCTTCACAAATTTTCCTCAAATGTATACGTGTACTCACGAAACTTGTGATAATCCAACGGCTCCGTGATGTAAGAAGCAGCATGTTGGCAGCCTGTTGTGGGAAATAAAAGGAAGACACATATGCGTTACCTAGTGGCCTGTTAGAAGTACTGGATACTGTCAACATCTCTAGTGATTAGTGATATACAACTTGTCAAAAATACAACGCGTTTAGAACGACTCTCAACACGAAGATGTGACCCATTGTTGATTAGTCAACCGTCTCTGGTTGGTCTCCAGGATCCTGACGTGACTGAAATCTCGTCCAAAAGGTGACCTCTTCTCTTCATTGTGTTAGTTACCACACAACAAATACACCCTTTGATGGATTCATGCCAAGTGCTATAAACTCTAACCTTCG